GACTTGTCTTACATCTCGAGCCAGCTCGCTCAGTATGCCAAGCGGCCTGAAGGGGAGCACATGCTGGATTTACAGCGCGCCCTGCAGTACTTCATCTCCACACCTCTCATCGGCCTCACCTACTCAACCCTCACGACCCGCTCCTTCAGCCTCGTTGGCTACGTGGACGCAGATCATGCTGCCGATCCTGCGAATCGACGATCCCGAACCGGCTTTCTTTTTCGCCTCGAACCTACTTGTCCAATTTCCTGGAATTCCCAGAAGCAGGAAATGGTAGCACTCTCCTCTGCTGAAGCCGAGTTCATTGCTGCCACGTCAGCGGTCCGCGAAGGACTTTACCTTCAGGAACTTCTCCAAGAGGCGAAAATTGCGACATCCGCGAGCTTCAAACTTCACTGCGACAACCAGAGTGCGATCAAGATCGCGAACAAACCTGACTTCGTCAACCGCACTAAGCACATCGCACTCCGCTACTTCTTCGTCAAAGACGAAGTTGACAAAGGCAAAGTCATCTTGACTTACTGCCCCACTGGTGACATGGCAGCCGTCTTTCTCACTAAGAAACTGCCACGCCAGCAGTACCATCAATGCGGAAACATCTGCGGTATAACCAAGCGCGTCAAGACTTCGCTTCTCCAGGAATGAAGGGGAGTGTTACGATATGGAATTGTTGAATAAACATTCATGAGTAACGAAACCTTAACGCGAAGATGACTGCAGCGAGGACAAAGACTGAGCGACAAGACAGTTATCGAAGACAGTTACAAGCAGGAAGAATTCGAAGTGCAAAGCGCGTGAAAACTTCAAACGGTTACCGGACCGCGTACGGTTACCGAGCCGCACGGTTTCAATCGTGCACCTAGATTAGCCCTAAGGGGAATGTACCCCCTCAGAGTACATGGCTAGCTAGGACCTTTCGCATTCCACTGTATTCATATATAAACCCTTGTACGGCATTGTGTTATTCACTTCTGTCGAGATCTAAATCTCCTTCTACTGACAGAGTCCGTACCCGACATTACCAAGCAATCTTCCGCTGCTACACTACGTGCGATCAACCTGAGACGATCCTATAAGACGGTTCAGATTGTATCATGCATTACAAGGACAGATGCTTTGACAACTTCGGTACCGTAACTTTGACTCAGTAACTTTGTCAACTTGGAGCTTATGCACCAGTAACGGACTCACGGGCCTCCGCCTAAGCATGGTACGGTATCGTAGTAACTTGAATAAGCCACTTTGACAAGTAGTGATAGCAGACATATATCGTAGCCGTTACATGTAAGTGATTTGTCTTTACCATGCATTTTATGTTTTTCCGCCTAGAAAAAAAAAAAACCCTGCTGGTCTGTGACCTGAAGTCCTGAGATGTCAGCCGCGCTGATTTAACCTTTCCCGTGGCAGCCTTACATGAGTAATGGATGACTTTCTAGCATTTTTTCTTTACCTTGTCTGAGAGCGAATGGCTGAATGGTAACAACCGCAGTGCTGCAGATGCTGCAGATGTCTCGTTGCAACGAACGACTTCCGACAAGGTCGCATTTCGGGTTGTTGCAGTTCCCAACGATTACAACTTCCTGTTTCTGTGATTGTAGTTCTGACACTTACCGTCCACCTCCTAGACCTCCAAAAGAACTGGATAAGGGGGTCGTTGTTTGGAAGTCTTTTGTTCGTATCTCTGGTCCAAAATGCGACCTTACAGCCTCCCTGCTTCACTTGTCCATGGCGGCGAGTCTACCCAACCAAGGCCAACTTCGAGGTTGATGGACTGGGCTGGGAGAAAGATGCATCAGCTGTAACGGACACCCATGTAAGTTACGCAGGCCGCGAGTATGTCAGAGGAACCGCAAGAGTGTGATGTGTGGTTGTTGGTGCATGCATGCTCGCTGCTGCACGCGCCGCCCTCAAAATAGTAAGATGGTTTACTTTGCCAACACTTCGCACGAAAATGCCAGGTGAGGGGAGGGAACTAATGCGGCGAAGAATTTTGTTTTTCTTACTAGGCTAGTGCCAATCTCCGGAACGCACGGTGTCGAGTACTTATCGTAGTGTGGTTGAATGTGGTTGTTCGCGTGATGGTATTTCCATCCAAGAGCGGTTTCGTACCTCGATGTAATACAGCCACGCAGCCGCTAACGACACTTCGTTACCGACCCCGCAGCGCGTGCCGCCACCTCGCGCAGCATCATCATGTACGAGCTAACGATAGCGAAGCAAATGACACGAGCGAAGCAAGCGATACGGTTCGCATCATACGCCCAGCAAGTAAGCGACACGCCGTCGGTGTTTTTTTTGGCCAATCATGTTGGCGTTCTCCCAACGAAAGCGGTGGTGGCAGGTGTCGCCATAACCCCTCAATTTCCCCGCGGAATTGCCGCTCGCTACTTCGAGTACTATCGGCGCCGACAACGCCGGCAGCGGCAGCACTGTTGAATAGCCGTTGCTCGCTCGCGAGATAATCGCCAGTGTGGAGTGGCGTTGCTGGCAAGCTATACTATTGCTCTGAAGTATTGCTGGCAAGTATTACTAACAGCTGCTCACATTCCTCTGAACGATTCGCCTCGTGTCCGTACATCGAGACTTGTGATTCTAGTAAGTCTGCCTCTGAAGGCCCCTTTCTCTCCCCCCCAATTACGGCGACGGGTTATCTTGGAGCGTCAAGTTTACGCTCACGCTCAGGCTTTCGCTCAAGTATGGCTCTGGCTGTGGCCTCGTCATCCTCTCTTGAACTAAATCGTTCGTTCTCGCCGCGTCTCCCCGCGCCGCTTCGTGCCTCGGCGGCGCCTCTTGTTGGAAACCAGATGCGCCTCGCTGTTTGCGTTCTGCTCGTCGTGCTCGTCCTTCCCGCAGGTTCGCACCTTTTTCCATGCTCTCGTGCCTTTCTGGCTGATGCCAGCTGCGCACGAAACGGACATAGAATGGTGACATTATTTTTTATTTTCTTTTTATCTACCTTATGTTTTGTGTGCTGATATCATCTGCCCCTCGTGCTCCGTTCTTCTCCCTCCCCGCCCTTGCCCCGTCTGCCATGAAACCAAATTTCTTTCAGTCACACAAGCTCGAACCCTAATCCCCCAACTGATACGCCCACCTGCACACACTGCGTTTACAACAGTACCATGTGATTCCTTCTTTGTTCCCCCTTTGTGCACTGCACAGCTGTGGCTGCTCCAGTAGCCAGTCCTCCCCCTCCGCCCGGCCCTGCCGGTCCACCCCCTCCTGCGCCCTCTAGCTGCGTCATGCAGCGCCGCATATGCCCGTGGGTGTGTGACAATAACAAGAGTGATCCTCCCTGCCTGTTGAGGAAGGTCTGCCCCAAGGGCCATGTTTGCATTCCATTTGTGAGAAGCTGTAAGGGGTACAAGTGCTTCAAGGTATTTTCTGTCGGCCGTAGAGGATGATGTGCTCGCTGAAGAGTACCTAGATTAGATGAGCTAGTATCTGGTTTCTTTCTGTGTGTTTCTTGCACTTCGACATGCGCTTGTGTACGTGGCCCCAATCCACCCTCCCCCTCCACCCCCCTCCCCCTCCCCCCTCCCCATTCCCCTTCCAAACATACATACCGGTGTATGAATAATGTATTTAATTATATTACCGATATAAAATACATATGGTACCCTGAAGCATGGCCAAAACAAATGCTATGTGACTGTCTTAAGAATTTACAAATTGTAGTATAAAATTACGTATTTAGCTCGTGTAACAAAGCGTGCGTAGTGTTTGCCTCAAGAGCGGAAATCGGAACCATCCCCACCGCCTCCACCTTCACCACATCAAGGCTAAGGTACTGCAAACGTCGGGTTTCCAGGAGCGCAAGGCAACACTCGCATCACGCTCCGAGTCAGAAACTTGACTAGGATCAAACATGTGTGAGAGACTGAGAGTTGGACAGAACCTGAGAGAGGAGATGGCTAGTACCTTCGATGCGCGAATTTCAGCAGAAAAAGGTCTACAGCGGTACTGTAATAGTCCAGCAACAGCAGGAATGGTCGGTCAGCAGGAATGGTCGGTTCGTCAGATACCGTACACGTACCATCTTCCATGTGGCTGTTGCACGCGTGGAACGGCTTCTGGTTTACTCGTTATATCCCCTTCGACTCGTTATCCATTTCCCTTCGACAGACTCTCAACTCCAAGCCTTCGTCATCGGCCGAGTGGTAACGGTTACTCTTCCTTATATGACGGGATGGTGCTATCTGTTAAATTGAATTACTATACCGACTGTGTCGATAGCATGTGCTATCTGTTAGTATGGCGGTAGTGATGCTGCCGATTCCTCCCCGTCGCTTCTTGCGTCGTTATGCGGAACAGTGCTTGCTGCCGCTTACAAGCACCAGCGAGTCTGCTCAGCGAATAGGTGGCTTATCCGAGTAAGCTGCTGCTGCGATGCGACTTTTCTGCGGCTGAACGGCAGCTCAGACAAGATGGCCTGGCGAAGACTCGTCGGGGTAACTGGCTGTTGTTTACGAATATGCGAACGTCGCGAACGGATTCTGCTGGCGTTGTCGCGAACGAATATTGCTGCTGCAGCATGATGTATCGCGACGCGACGTCACGCGCTCAGCTGGGCCGTCAATTGCTTGACAATATCCACGTCGCGAACGGATTCTGCTGGCGTTGTTGCTGTTGGGGCATGATCATGTGATGCGACGGCACGCCGGGCCGTCAATTCCTTGACGAGACCCCTTCTTGCCAAACCGCGTCGCGTCTTGAAGATTTTCCGGCGAGCATGCCCGTCTTCCCGCACCAGGCGTTGCCAAGAGGGGTAGGATCGGGTGGTGGCGATGCGATAATATAAAAGCGAGCCCCTGCTTGGTGTCCTTACCACAGAAGTGCGCTCGTTTGATGCTTCTCATTGTGCGTGGTACTAGATCTGCCCATTGGCGTGCGCAGCAGCACTTGAGAACTCAACTCGTCTCTCTCGAGTTTCAAGCCTCGAGTGCCGACACCAGAGAACCACACGCGTTGGAATCTCCAGGCGCTAGCACCAATCGGACATGGCGAGGGCAGGAAGCGTCGACGGCAACGCTGTGACTCCTCGAGAGGCAATGGCGGCAATGGCAGCAATGACGGCGAGAGGAGGCAAAGGAATCTCTAAGGTCGCTCCTTCTCTTCTCGTCGTCGTCGCGCTCGTGCTCGTCCTCCCAACAGGTTAGTCGGACTGAATCTTTTCATTGCCGATGATACCCCCTTGTGTTGAGTTCTGATGAGCTGCCTGAAAGTTCCGCTTTTCAGGTTCTGATGAGCCGCCTCAATCCTCCGCTTGTGTTGATGATTTGATACCTTGGTAGCAGCCTGTGTCTGTTTTCCCTGTACCGTATTTGTTGTCCCCACTAACTGTTTGTCTTGCTCCACCCTGTTTCTATGGTGTGGCAGCAGTGCTGGCTCAAACTGCCTCCCCACCGCCTCCTCCGGGTGTTTCCTCCCCACCGCCTCCTCCGGGTGTTTCCTCCGCACCTCCTCCTCCGGGTGTTTCCTCCCCACCGCCTCCTCCGGGTGTTTCCTCCCCACCGCCCCCTCCTGCGCCTGCCACTTCATCGCCCCCACCTCCCCCAGACATGGCCTCGCCTCCTCCCCCTCCTGGGCCCGCCACGTCATCTCCCCCACCTCCCCCAGACATGGCCTCCCCACCCCCCCCTCCTGCACCCGCCACATCATCTCCTCCCCCTCCTGACTGCACCCCCAGGCGCCGCCCCTGCCCCTGGCTGTGTGACAATAACGGGGTGAACCAGCCGTGCCGGTTCAATAGGGTGTGTGCGGATGACGAGGTGTTCATTCCCTTTGTTAGCAGCTGCGAAGGTTACAAGTGCATGAAGCTGTTCCATTGAGGGTGTTGATTTAATGAGCTTGCCTGCTCAATACCAAGGTACGGTATAACCTGAAGACTGGTACCTATGCGTAGCAGCTGTTAAGCATTACTACACTGTCAAAACAAATTCGCTCTTGTGTTCCTCCTGTGTGTTTAGACATACCGTGGTTTGGTATATTCCACCTTTTATGGTAATTCTTCTGATGCATGATTGTAGTATCGGTATGTCTACATTGATGTATTACAAATAGCATTTACTGTTTCCATTGTCTTGATTGCAGACTGGTTCCTCATTCCTCCTGGTTTGGACCCACAATCTAGAATATCAGCAAAAAACACAAGATTCTGTTGACTGCATTCCATAGATTAAGACAATACTCTTCAAAGAGTATGCAGAGTAGTCGTCATAGAGCAGAGCAGTCGTCATAGCATTTCAGATCTTATCGTACAGCACACTAGATTGCATATTACAAAGTAAAATAACAAAGAGAAATTGTAGGTATCCAAACTATGTATCAATGAATATAAATCTATATGGGAGGGGGGGGTGGGTTCTAAACTAGATCTAGAAATGATTTTTGGACTAGGTGGCAGGTCCGTAAACCTGCCACAATATAAGGAGCGATAGACTCCTTACTGCATTCTCCTTTACGTGTATTGTCATAATCTTTAAATTTTGAAATTTATTTCATAATTTTTCATATTAAAACCGGGGTGCACATTCAGCTGAATGTGCATCAAAGGTTATCCCTTGACTGAGTGGGTTACGAGGTGTGCTTTCAACCCCTTCAAGTCGAAATTCGTTTCCCCCCTCCCCCGCAATTTCGTTTCCCCACGCCCCCGCAATTTCATTTCCCCCTCCCCGTCGAAATTCGTTTCCCCCCTCCCCCGCAATTTTGTTTCCCCCCTCCCCTGCAATTTCGTTTCCCCCCCCTCCCGCCAATCTGTTTCATCCCTCCCGCCATTCGGTTTCACCCACTCCCGCCATTTCACCCCCTCCCGCCACCTACGAAATGCCCGAAGCTCTAGCGGAATCATTTTTTTATCGCCCCTCGTGAGCCAATCACTGTTTTTCTCCAAACCCCCTTCCCAACATCTCAAGCCGAACCGCGTTGAATGTGCACCCTGGTTTTAAGACAATACTCTTCAAAGAGTATGCAGAGCAGTCGTCATAGGTAACACGAGACATTAGGTACGGGAATGATTTCCTATGAAGGATGCCGTACGCTTCTTAACGGAAGGTAGAGATGTTCCGAAGATAAAAACGACGGGGTGACGAAGTATGAGGCACTAGTAAGAGCTTAGCACAATTTCATATACTGTGCCAAGAATTATGGTGTTGAGTCAGCAGCAGTGAGGGGGGGCATCCATCCCGCCAGAGAATCTCGAACCTCTTTTTCCACTTTCGAAGTTGTTGGCCATTGATACGCAAGTATACAGCATGTAACCATGTGGGCGAGACTGACAGTATGCCAACAGTGTGCAATAGCACGATGAGATAGGAATGTGATTTCAAGCCTGTGGCAAGCATGTACATGGCTTTTGCAAGATAGGAGTGGTCGTTCGAGTGCACTATTGATGTTAGCACCCAAGTGAGTAAAGTAACTCTGCTCACAAAGGGTGAGGAGATTGAGGAACCCTGAAGATGAGATCGTGCCATTGTCGCACTCCAATGATCAATATCGAATGGGTAGCATGCTATGCAGGTGATTACGCATGACATATAGGCATCTCATGTCAGAACATTATATAGCTTATGCTGTTGTGTAGGCTATAGTGGGGTATCCCATAAGGGGTACAACCCAATTAGGGTTTCCTATATGTACTCACTTCATTCATAGTTCATTCATTCGCGTTCTCCTCTCCACATGGAATCAGAGCAGGTCCCCTCCTAGGGACTGTTTCTAGGGCCCACCGAAGCGCGCCCCGAGGCGCGCTTTCCTTTTTTTTTTTTTTTTTTTTTTTTTTAGCGACCCTCCGTGTCGCCCCTAGCGGCCCGTTGCGCCGCCCTTACCTACGCGAGCCCGCCGCCCTTACGTCGCGGCCCAGCCGCCCTCACGTCGCGGCCCCGCCGCCCTCACCTACGCGGCCCCGCCGCCCTTAAGTCGCGGCCCCGCCGCCCTCACGTCGCGGCCCCGCCGCCCTCACGTCGCGGCCCCGTCGCCCTTGCCTACGCGGCCCCGCCGCCCTCACGTCGCGACCCCGCCGCCCTCACGTCGCGGCCCCGCCGCCCTCACCTACGCGGCCCCGCCGCCCTTAAGTCGCGGCCCCGCCGCCCTCACGTCGCGGCCCCGCCGCCCTCACGTCGCGGCCCCACCGCCCTTGCCTACGCGGCCCCGCCGCCCTCACCTACGCGGCCCCGCCGCCCTCACGTCGCGGCCCCGCCGCCCTCACGTCGCGGCCTCGCCGCCCTTGCCTACGCGGCCCCGCCGCCCTCACCTTCGCGGCCCCGCCGCCCTCACGTCGCGGCCCCGCCGCCCTCACTTCGCGGCCCCGCCGCCCTCACCTACGCGGCCCCGCCGCCCCGCTTCGCGGCCCCGCCGCCTACGGTACCGGCCCCGCCGCCTATCCTCACCGGCCCCGCCGCCTACGACCGCCGAGCCGCCCTGCCGCCGAGCCGCCCTGCCGCCCAGCAGCCGAGCCGCCGAGCCGCCCTGCCGCCGAGCCGCCCTGCCGCCGAGCCGCCCTGCCGCCGAGCCGCCCGGGAGCCGAGCCGCCGAGCCGCCCTGCCGCCGAGCCGCCCTGCCGCCGAGCCGCCCGGGAGCCGAGCCGCCCAGCAGCCGAGCCGCCGAGCCGCCCAGCCGCCGGGCCGCCCTACTGCCGAGCCGCCCGACCTGCCCTGCCTGGTGAGCACAGCACCACTGTTACTGCGTGCCCTTCCCCTACTGCTTGCACTACTACACTGTCGTCGTCATGGCTACCCCTAGTGTCCTCGCTTTTGACGCTGAGGGTCGAGCCATTGACTTTGAGGTCTGGGTCGACGACCTGCAGCTGTTCTTACAGTGCGATAGGGCGGACGGTCTTTCCCTCTTTGACCTCACCTCTGGCGCCTCTCCTGCCCCTGCTGCTGATGCTGACCCCACTGTTCGCTCTCAGTGGGCCACCCGCGATGCTGCTGTACGTCTTGCTGTGCGTCGCCACCTGCCTACCACTGAGCGCGCGCACTTTAGTCAGTACAAGAGTGCTCAGACCTTGTACGACGCTGTAGTTGAGCGCTACTCTTCCCCTGCCACTGCTGCCCTGAGCCGCCTCATGCTACCGTACCTCTTTCCTGACCTTGCTGCCTTTCCCACTGTCGCTGACCTCATTACGCACCTCCGCACTAGTGACACTCGCTACCGCGCCGCCCTTCCTGCTGAGTTCTGCGCCAAGAACCCCCCCCCCATGTACATCACTCTCTATTACATAGTCACACGCCTCCCTGACTCCCTTCGCGTAGTCAGGGACCACTTCCTCTCAGTCTGTCCCACCACTCTCACTGTCGACCTCCTCGAGACGTCCCTCCTGGCGGCGGAGAAGAGCATCGTCGCTGTAGGAGCCTCTCGTGGTGACCCTCGCACCCCCATCTTTGAGGGGTGTTCTCCTTCCCCCCTGCTGCCCTCTGTTGCCTCTGCTGCTGCTGCCGACCTGCTTGGTCTTGAGTCGGTCTGCGCGGCGTCTGCCCCTAGCGGGAGACGCCGCCCTGGCAGGGGCAAGGGGGGCAAGGGCGCGGGTGGAACTGGCGGGGGCGGTGGAGGTGGCGGTGGAGGCGACGGAGGGAGTGGGGGTGGCGGTGGGAGTGGTGGCGGGGGCGGTGGTGGCGGTGGCAGCAGCGGAGGAGGAGGCGGTGGTGGCGGCAGCGGTGGGAGCGGAGGCAGCGGTGGTGGTGGAGGTGGAGGCGGCGGTGGCGGAGGGGGTGGAGCTGGTCGGGGTGGTGCCCCGCAGCGTAGCGGCTCTGGTGGTGGCCAGCGTCAGCAGCAGCAGCAGCAACAGCGTTCGCGGGACATCCCCCCGCCCCAGCAGCTCCGTGAGTGGTACGCAGCGTCAGCGGGGTGGGGGTTTTGGTCCGTGCACCTACGTCCTTCGTTCCGGCGACCGCGCGGGTGAGCAGTGTGGGGGTGCCCACCCCACCCAGCGCTGCTTTGGCCGCCTGACGGACGCTTGGCGTCAGCAGTTCCCCGAGGCTAGTGAGATTCCCCGTTTGGGAGAGCTGTCTAGGGCTGGCGTAGCTATCTTTGATCTTGACTTTGATGCTATCCTTGCTGCCATGTATGCTGTGACTATTAGTGAGGAGGGTGACTGTTACCGGTGTTTCCCGCCCGACCCGGGCATTGGTACTGCTGCGCTAGGTACTTCTGCGGCTGCTGCTCTAGGTGCCAGTGCGTCTGCACTCTCAGGTACTGGTGAGGCTGCGCTCTCAGGTACTGCGTCGGCTTCGGCCTCCCTCACCTTCACGCTTGACTCAGGGGCTTCTCGCTCCTTCTTTCGAGACCGCACCACACTCACGCCGCTTGGCCGGCCGGTTGCAGTCTCCCTGGCTGACCCCTCTGGGGGTCCTGTCCTCTCTCACTTCTCCACTGTCCTCCCGTGTCCGGCTGCCCCCTCGGGCACCTTGTCTGGTCTGTACCTCCCCTCGTTCTCGACGAACTTGGTGAGTGGTGCTGACCTGCAGGATGCGGGGGTTCACCAGTTTACTCCTGCGAGTCAGCGGGTGACCCACTGCTCGGACGCCCGCACAGGCCGACACCTGGCCACGTTTTCGCGTCGGTTGGGGTCGAGTCTCTACACCCTGACCACTGAGTCTCCTCCTGTCCCTGCGTCTGGCCAGGTAGCTGCGTCGGGTCAGGTGTTTGCTGCTGCGTCCAGGTCTGGTCCTGAGTCTGCCCCCTGCTCGTGTCGCCGCCTGTCTCAGGAGACTCTCCTGTGGCACCACCGTCTTGGCCACCCCTCCTTGCCTCGTCTTCGGGGCATGGCTTCCCGTGTCCTTGTCTCTGGTCTTCCCCGGTCTCTCCCTCCCCTTCCTTCGGGACCCGGACCTTC